GCACACTAGGGAAATAAGTATAAGAAACGCTGGTTACAATTGTACATTAAAAAATTGCTGACAAAATACGTTTAACTTTAAATTTAAACTCGAATACCCATAAACCTGTTGTTTTTTAAGAAGTTCATGATACAAAATCATGAAGTAGCAATATTATCAATTTTATTATTAACTAGCAGTGGAGCCCGGCGTTGCCCGGGGATGTAACAGTAAGAGATAGATCAAGTATCGATCATCATAAAGACTGAAAAATAAAATTGACAAAGATTATTGTTTAAGGTTGACGGACACGCATATTTTTTTTTATTTTTTTTACGAATTGGTCAAACCCAAACTCAAACAAATCATTGTTTTCAATCGTTAAGAGTCTATTGATTGAATAGAATTTTATTATAAACAATTGTTCTGTAAAATATATTTTTGTGTTTGTATTTATCTTTTATTTAAATTCTTGAATGCTTTATCCCTCTATTACTGTTATACCTCTGTTATTATACATCGACTTCAACTTTATACTTCTAACATCTCCACCTAAACTCTCAAATGTTATTTACTTTATACTTTCCCCCCTGAACTGTGTATGACGATAAACAACACCCAGCAGTAAATGTCTCTGATCGGCAGGATTTGAGGAGCGTAGAATCACCTCTCAATTGCGATTATTCCCAATTACTTGGTCCGGGTTAGTAGCACCTGTTAGGAGTTCCAGCTATGGGAAAATAGTGACCCCCCCCCCAAACTGGGGTCGAAAGTATAAAAATACATTTGATAGTAAAAAAAAAAATATATACCGGTAATAAATTTTTGTAAAAAAAAAAAAAAAATCCAGCAATATATATATATTTTTTTAAATTACTGAAAATCCCAAGAAAATTAAATTAAATGACCCATAAGGGGTTTATATGCTGTTAAACAAATAAATATTTTCCTCAATAGAATTAAATAAGTTCGCCTATCATCCTCCCCAATATTTTTTTTTTTACGCCTGATAATCTTTCAACAGACGTAGAGGTTTATCCCTTGTTTCCTGTTTAGGATTGGGTTTCCGGTTCCTTCTAAAATCTACTTCAACTCTATACTTCTAACATCTCCACCTAAGCTCTCAAATGTTATTTATTTATTTTCTTCCTTCAGTAGGAGTAGATAGTTTGTTTGTTTTTTAAGAGGAGTAGAGGTTTATCCCTTGTTTCCTGTTTAGGATTGGGTTTCCGGTTCCTTCTAAAGTCTACTTCAACTCTATACTTCTAACATCTCCACCT